TCACCAGAAATGATTACAAGTAATTTGTTATAACCACTGTGTCATTATAACAAAGGTCCAACTATCATACAAACTACACTCTGAGTCAGTGCAGAGTGTTGAGGGTTCCCATGATGATGGGGTCATTAAGACTTGGTATTTGGGCCAGGCTCTGGACATGGTGCAAAAACCCATGTAGAAATAGTTGTATGGTTATAGTAAACAATGCATTTGAAAAATTAGGAAATAAGAAGACTCAAAAAGGGCTGAAGTCTGTGATTCCATAGCAAAGAAAACTGGAAGCTGCAGGTGCTATTCACAAAAAAAGACAGGAGGATCTAATGTAGGCTAAGGAGAGAGAGAGGTAGGTATATAGTAAGTCAGTCAGCAAAGTTGGGAAACAGTCTATACAAATCACAGTGTTGTGCGTGGTGATTAGAGGGAAAGGAGTATGAATGTCATCTCTAAGAGTACAAGGCATTTTGTCATCTTCTCTAAGCCTACCTATACATACAACTTTATTGAACTGCTTCTAAATGAGTTCAATGAAATGGGTACATTTATATTGTTAGCCAATGTGTATTGTACATAGTGCGTGCTTGATAAAAATTAATGATGATGACAAAACCAGAAGGAGGGGGTGGAAGAAAGGATCATCACATTCTTGAAGATATTTACTTTTAGCAAGATTGAGGCTAAAAGAGGAGATAGCCCATAAAGAATTAAAAGTAGCAACCAGGACTGGAGGAAATAGAAAGTGTATTGTCTGGAAATAGTGATGGACGTAGAGCCCAAATACTGCATACTATTTATTTATGTTTGACCCTTATGCAGTCTCAGAGGGTGTGTTTAAGGATTTCTGGGTGTTGAAGTAGAGGGGTGGCTTCAGGCATGATATGCCTCCATAGGTCACATAATGCAAAGAGATCAAGTAAGATGATTAGGCAAAAAAGCCAATGCATTGAATATGCCAAATTCATTGTTGAAATTAAAAAGAAAAAGTTTGATGGGTTATTGCGGCAAATGGCAGGAAATAGGTTTATGGCCAATTAGGTGAGTATAAGATAGGTATATACATGGGTGTAGGCCACTATAGATGCTGAGAGAGGAGATAGATAGATAGATAGGTAGATAGATAGATAGATAGATAGGTAGATAGATAGATAGATAGATAGATAGGTAGGTAGGTAGGTAGGTAGATAGATAGATAGATAGAGATAGAGTTGAACAAAGTAACAATGAGGCAATGGTTCAGAGTTGGGTTCAAGGGGTTGAGAAACATATCTTCAAAAGGAGTCTAATCTCTGAGAGAAAGGAATTAAGAATGTGTGGAAACAAAATTTGGAGCAAAATCTATATAATATGGAGACTAACCTGGGCAACAATGGTAGGATCTGGTTCTGTTATCTAAACCACATAGTAAGAAACCATGCTAGGAAAGGCCACCAGGCTGTGGATGCCTTTGGGACCAACTGCTTATTCCTGAGTGTTCAGGCAGGCCCTGTCTGAAAATGTCCTTTGCACATGCATCAATGGCCTCTGTCATCCACTGTGGCATCTATATTTCAGATTCCATCAGCACGGCCTGTTCCTTCCACTGTTGCAAGAAACCCAGTGCATCACCAGCTGGCTACAGGGTGGATCTGGGGCTTGGTGCCACTTTATCTGCTCCCAGAGCTTTGAATCATTGTGCTTTATCTCTTTTCTATGTGGCCGATCTCTGCCTTTTTGTTCTGATCACTAGTCCTGGCCACCTAGTGAACTCTGTATATGATCTTTTCATCTTTTCTTGGAATCATGAATGAACTGTTTCCTTATTGTACACAGATATCAAGTTACCTAATTAAACAAAGAGCTGCATTAATTCAGGGAGCACTGTTTTCTTTTTCCTGGTAGAAACAAACTTGAGTGTGTATACGAGCCAAATTTTGCCCTTGCCCAGATCTTGCCTTCTTAGCAGTAATCTGGTTTTCCCTTTCATCTCTGTACATAGTGTTCACTCCCTTAAGGCTTGACCTCTGAACAACACAGCCTTTAGACTCCACCCTGTGTAGTCCTTGGAGGCCCTATTCCTCCATGCAATTTCAGTTTCCTATGTTCTTCCTGTAGAGCTTGTTAAAGTAACACCAGTTAAGTATGATGGTTTCAGAAAAGACAGTCACAGAGGGAAATTTGAAGGATTTGGACCCATGATCTTGTAAGAGATGAATAGGAGCTCTTTGGGGAGCTGGTGACCAGTGTGAATATGGATTCATTTTGTTAAATGATACCCTCTTTTCCCAAGTCAAGCAGCATGTATGTCTGCTTGTGTCAGAATAGGTTGTGGTGGTTACACAGAAATTTGATAGGTCTTTACCTTAAGCACAATCCCTGTCCTAGAAGTATCAAGGAAGTTATATTGATGAAGTCTTAACAGCATGGCTGCCAAACATGATCTGAAGAACAACAGCAAAACACATACTAATGTGCAAGGGAGAGATCTCATGGGGTTCCAACCCTAGACCAGAGGGCAGTGTGGGAACATATTATTTATGAGTTAGTAAAGCTTGCCTGAGGATTCAGAAAGCAAAGCCAGCCTCAAGCTATAAAGATCAGGAGGTGGTGGTACACACAGGCAGATCTCTGTTAGTTCAAAGCCATAATAGACCACAGGGCAGAATGTCAAGACCCACTGAATGCTTCTACGTTGAGTGGAAGGCCGCATGGTGGTCAAGCATGTTCCAACCATCATTGGATAGCATTATTTGAAGGTATATTATATAAACAAAAAGATTTTTTAAAAAAAGATTCATTAGCTGAATTGTAAACACTTTTCCAGGCCCTCTCCTCTTTTTTCCTGCAAGGAATTGTTGGTAGGGTGATAATTTCAGATAACTTAAATCTTAGTTTTAGTTTCTCCATACTATGCTTTGTTAACTAAGTCAAATGGATACTTGAAGCAAATCTTTGTTAGTATTCATTGTTTCCCCAACTGCTTCTGTGCTCCTAACCTCTGTGATCTTGCTCTGAGCACAAATCATGTCTGTGTGACCACCTTCACTATTGAATCTGTCATGACTTGAGTCCCATGGCTCAGGATGAGCCAGAGATCCTTTGTGCTAATCTTTTATCCCTGCTTTGGGCTCTCTGCCCTTACTTTCTCTGTCTCTCCCCTCTTGATACAGTGTATCAAGTGTATACAGTGTATGAGTAGAGTGTTTGAGAGTAGAGTGTATGAGAAGATGTGTTTAAAATTCAGGGACATTTAAGCCCTGGACCTTCAGTGTTCATTCCTGTATGCAAGATCAAAAACTCTGAAAAGCCTTTGGTTTGAAAATGACATGGGACATTAGTACATATCCAGTGGCCTGGTGATGTCACAGAATTCAGTTATCCAGTGTGAAACAAATCCTGTACTTTCACTAATCTTCTTGTGTTATTGTGAGGTAGCATTCTGAATTTGCCTTAAGTGGGGAATGGGCAGAATCTCCTAAAGCTGCAGTCACAGCTGAGATGCCATTGAGAGGTACATGGCCACAGGAACACACAAAGGAGAACAAGCAGAATTAGCAAGGTGATTAACAAGGAAAAGTGACCATTGCTCTTAATGAACCTCTTCTGAGACAGTGGTGCAATAGAAAGGCTCTCAGCCTGCAAAGGCACATGTCATAACCAAAGGCTTACATGTGGCAACTGTTCTGCACATGGAAAAGTGAGTCATCTCCAGTCACTGGACATCCCAGAGACACAAGGCTGGCATCTGGTCATCCTCTGACACCCAGACCAGTCCTTGTATGTTTTGTAATATATGAGATATAGTAAGACTGCCAAGCTTACACCCAGCCTGCTCCACACTCATCAGCTTCCCCCATTTCAAACTTGTTCCCGCTGTCTCTAACCCTAGTTATAAGAGGAAATAGATTTTAAAAAGACAGTGTCTATAGGTACAAAGCATTCCTAAATCTATAGATTTAGGAACCTACTCCTCATCACGAGTCACTACTTTCAACATTTGTGTAGCCCTGTGCGTGTATAAGTGCCATTCTCACTCATCAGTACCCATGCTCAGAGGTTCAAGCCCACTTTGAGCTCCTTGGAAAAAGAAAGGAAGTTTTGTCCTTCCTATTGTGGTTTTGCCCCACCTCCCCCATCATGGAACACTTGGACTAGTCTGAACCTATAGGAATTTGTTTAATATCCTTCTAGGTATCCCAGTATTTTGAGTCCCTTCCATCCCAGAACTAACACATCTAGAACCTTGGATCCACTGTAGTCGCATTGACACCTTGCAACAGCTGTCTCTGTGGAATGACTTGGTCTCCTGACTGAATGGACCATCAATGAACGTAATACAGTAATTAGATTCCTTGACATTTAAATGGATTAGTCAAGAAATCTGCTGACTCTTCAGCTACTGAATTTATGCATAGTAGAATTAACTGAACCTTGGCCTTCTTTACAAGTTCATGGATAAACAATAGAGGTCTTCAGTGTTGTCTTTGTAAGCCTCTCTGGGACAGAGAGAAGATGAATACGTATCACTACGGAACTCTCCCTGATAAAATGAAACACCTTCACTCATGAGTCTAGGTAGTTTTCAGACAATGATGAAGTATGAGACAGGTGTCATTCAAACTAGAGTACTCCCATAGCAAAGGCTTTTCAATATGGCTCAAGTTTCTTTTTATCTTTACTGCCTAAATTCTAGTTCTGTCTCTCAATTCTGGATATGTCCTATCAGGTCTCTCTCTTCTAGGTTACAGAAAGCAGATTACATTCAAAGGCAAGTAAGCCCCAGGCTACATGTCCTGGGGCCACCCCTAAAAGGAAATATCTTGTCCATACAGGTTCTATCTGTACCTACAGCCTGAAATCGATCTGGAAATGTGCCCAAGGCTTGGAGGACCTCAAAAAAGTCCCATCAAGCTTGGCTACACCCATCATGTTTGTAAGCTCCTGGCGGAATGGGTGTGTTCTTTGTGGTGAAAGACACTGGAAAGACACGTCAGGAAATATGTCATATTGTCATCACTATGACATTACAAGAATTACAATCATAGCTTACCTCGTTATATAGGTGGACAAGCACACCTTTTGGCCTAGTCTCGGCTTGTTGGGAAGCAGTCAGCTATGAGGTTCCATTATCTGCTATTTGCATTCCTCATCTTGTTCCTGGTGCCTGCTCCAGGTAAGATGGGTTGGGAAATGGGTGGAAAAGGTTGAGAACATGTAATTTACTCAGCCCTTCTCGGCCCTGGGTGAGCCTGAAATCAGGTGGATTTGTTGAGTGGAAACAAAACATCGCCAGTATTTCCTTCCAACAACAGTCATTAAGAGTATTAAAGCAGGCTCTTGGGTCTGTCCTGTATCACTCTTATAAGAGACTAAATAGTACCACAGATGCCAACTTTCCACCCACCTCATCAGTGGAATACCAGGACGAGACCTGAGAAAGCTGATGTGAAGTTTTAATTCTGATGGAAATGAACTATTTAGTCTGATACCCAAACCCACAGTTATCTATTCTAAGTGGGTTTAGTGGCTGGAGGGAGAGAGGTGCACTGGGATACTTGGAGGCTTCTAGGGACAATGGTGGCCCCAAGTCCAAGTTCTTATGTTAGGGCTCAGAGATCAGTCTGCTGTGTGCTCACAGCTGAGATGCAGCCCCTAGAAGACTTTGTTTCCCACCTATCCCTGTCTATCCCTTAATCTTACTTTTGATTCTATAGGAAAAGAGAAAAGATACAAAAGTAAAAAGAAACTAATTCAGCAATGCATAGTTTGCTGGACCCAATGTCTTTTTTTCACTCTTTCTAAAATAGTCTTGATTTTTCCCCTTGTAGGGGATGCATTCATCCGGAAAACCATCCAAAAATTATTCTGCAGAATACGAGGCGGCCGGTGTGCTATGTTTAGCTGCCTTTTAAAGGAAGAACAAATAGGTCAATGTTCTAATAGAGGTCGGAAATGCTGCCGGATGAAGAAGAAATAGAAGATCCAGATTCAGGACGAGACTGCCACTATCTGGCCATGGGGGGGCAGTCCTCTTGGGGGTGTGTGACAGCAAAATCAAAGTAATATATCTATTTTTTTTAAATCATAAGCTTAATTTTTTAATATTTTGGCCATTGCATTCATAAACAAAACGAAACTAAGAAAATCAACAGACTCAGTCTGATTTGAACGAACAACACCTCTGCAATGGTCTACATGATACTTAAGCTTATTTTCCAAGGCCAAGGGCTTGAACTGGTGTGTGTGTGTGTGTGTGTGTGTGTGTGTTTTACATGTATATAAACATGTGTATACATGGAATGTACATACACAATACAGACTTTTTTCTTTTTTAATTAACTTTTATTTAAATTTAAAACAGTCTTATTTTACATACTAATTCCAGTTCCCTCTCCCTCCAGTCCTCCCATTCCCCCACCAATACCTGCATCTCCCTCCCTCCCCCCATCCACTCCTCAGGGAGAATGAGGCCTCCCATGGGGGATCATCAAAATCTAGACAGACATTTTATATTTTGTATGTTCTATACTCCATTGGAAGTGAACTTGTCTCTTGAAATACCCCTTTGTGTCTTACTGTAGATATTTTGATCTTTCCGGCCCTCTTCACTGAATTGCATTTTCCCAAATCTAAAGCATCAGTTCACCCCAGAAGTCAACCTTAAGCCCTTCTGAAAACTTTACCCAGAGAAACAGGGACCTGGCCCTCCTCATCTTCTCTTCTTTGTCTCCGCTCTGACCTTCACTCTGTTGCTTCCTGCCTAGTACACACTCCACCTACCCACTTCTTACCCTAAAGTGCTCCTGCTGGGCTGTCTCATGGTCTCTTCTTCCTCAAAATGGCAAGCTTCCCAAACTGGCAACTTTCTTTAGATGTGCTACAGGCTCTGACTTGAGTCCTCTATCTATGACTCTTGGTGGTTTTTCACCTGTGGATAGTCACACATCGCCACTCTCCACATTTGGTTGTGTGATTCATAATAACAGCATGGCCCTTGTCTCCATATCTGGACCTTTAGTACCCTGGTTGGCGAATGTCCTTGGAGTTGAAGGATAGCCACATAGCTTGGAGGTTTTTTCATTTTAGTTGATGCTCTCTAGATGTTCATACAGAGCAACTCCAGTACCCCCAGTTAGTGGTCTTCCCTGGCAGCATCAGTCAGAGGGGTACACAGATGGAATAATCAGGCTCTCAGTAATGGTGGAAAAACCATCCTGACTCACAGTTTCTGGAACTCATCTCCCATCAAAAAGTTAACAGGAAAGGCTGTTTTCATACACCAAATGACAACCAGTGCAGACTGGAGAGAGAGAGGAAGGGGAGGAGGGAGGGAAGGGATGAGGGAGGATGGCAAGTTCATGAATACAACACTTACTACATGGGCGGTTTCTAAGCCAAGGCACAGGGAGGCCGAGTCACAAGACCAGCAGGCAATGTTGCAGCTTTAAGTCACTGAGACAGCAAATCAGACAGAACAATCCACCCCCAGTTGCCTTCAGAGGTGGGAAAAGGAGGACAGGACCTCAGATGGAGACAGTGCTTGAGAGCTAAACCAGAGGGCAGGGAGGGGCTTCAGTGCTAGAGTGATTAATGATGCAAGGACACTTGGGACAAAATATCACATGGCCAGAGGAAAGTGAAAACATCATAAAGGAACTGTGTGGACATTTCAGGAGTTTACAGGCTTGGAAAATGCACTCCCAATAGCAAAGTGAAGGTCGTTCCCCCTTCATAAAGCAGCCCAGTGACAATGATGAGTCCTTCTGAAGACGTCTATAGCTCTCTTGCAAAGTTTCAGAACCATTTTTGAAAGAACCATCTGAGACAAACCTAAATCTGGGCCAGAATAAAGCCCAATTTTCCTTTAAAAGTAATGGTCAAATCCATTCTCAACTATTCAAGTGTTGCTGTGTATTAGATGCCATAGAAATGACCAGGTAGGCAGAGAAGGATGCAATCCACTCTCAAAAGAAAAGTCATGCTGTTAAGAAGGACCTAGTGAAGTTTGAGGATTTTAGAATTAGCCAGAAGAGTCATAAAAAGGGCCAGGGTAAAATTGTTCACGAGGAAAGAGATTAAAACATATAAAGAATTGAATGGAGCTTCCAGAGATGAACTGTAAATATCTGAATAAAACTATGCTGAATTTTGGTAAAAGAAGGGGCTCAATTGGTAGGGTGCACCCAGCTTGCATGGAGGCTGGGGTTTGACTCCCCAGCACCACATGAAACTTAGCTCATGCTTGAAACCCTAGCATTTTGGGAGGTGATGCGTGAGGATCCAAAGATGAAGGTCATCCTTGGCTCCATATCAAAGCTTGAAGCCAGCATGGTTTATGAGCTGTCTCAGGTTTGTACATGCTTCTTCGGGCATGTTGGGAAGTGGCAAAGCTTGTGCATCTTCAGGGGACATGGGACAAAGGCTCTGCACAAGGTGACGGTGACCAGCAATCTGATTCCCACCAAGTTCAGCTCTGCTCTCCCTTTCAGGGAACTGGAGAGGCTGATAGCAGTCCCAAATAAGGTTGGTGTTTGGTAGAGCACCTTCTGGCTTTGTGCTGTAGAAAAACCAAGAGGTAACATTTTCAGGACATCTTGGTTATTGGGTGGGGGATTAGCAGCAAAGACTTTGAAGGCAAGCTGGTTATGTTTTCCAGTGACAACCCTGTCACTTAGCTCTTAACTTTTCCTGGGGTTTTTATATGTGGAATTGAGTCATTTCTACTGGCAGATTTGTGGATGAGGATCAGATGAGATGACTCATAATCGAGTGATCAAAACAGAGCCAGCTATATGTTTACAAAACTTGGTGCTGGACAAAAATGCGGGGATGAATACAAAGACCCGGGGAAAGAAGCTGTGTGGAGAACAAGAAGATAAAAGGCTTTCTTCTTTAATAACACTTTATAATTTGTAAAATGGAATAAGAATAAGAACTACAGGGGGACTAATCTCACAGACTGATAAATGGTAAAGGACTATTCTAGTTGTTATCAATTTGGAAATATACTGAAATATATTGATTGATTATTCTACTTTTTCTAGCCAACAGTTTTACAAATAGCTTTCTTAGGACATTTATGCATACTTTGAGCAATTTAATTACTTTTTTAAAGTGATGATATGCTGGTCCTCTGGCTCTTCTACCCATTGTTTGGTGACATTACCTGAGCTCCGGGTGTAGGAGGTGTATTGCGGATGTATCAGTTTGGTGTGCAAAAGTGGCAAGTGTATTTTGAAGATGGCAATTCTTACAAAGACCCTAAGATTTAATTATTTAAATGTCTGTTTCATGTACATTTTAATTTAATTTACTTATTTTATTAAGATTTATTTTATTTTATATGTGAGTGTTTGCCTGCATGTCTATCTATGTACCATGTGCCTCTGGAGGTTAGAGGAGTGGGTAGGATCTCATAGAACCAGAGTTATGAATGGCTGTGAGCCACTGTTTGTGCTGGGAACCAAGCCTGGATCTTCTATAAGAGCAACATCTACTCTTAATCACTGAGCCATATCTTCCGTTCCTAATTTAGCTTTAAGTGTAAATGCATGCAATGGGTTTTGTTTTTAAGATTTCTACTCAGGTTTTGTGCAGGTATGGTGGTGAACCCAGTGTTGTGCCTTATAGTTTATCCTGTACTCTGTTGCTGCATTCAATTGCTGAATCTTCACTATCAAGGAAAGTAAAAGTTAAAACCATCTTTCTTGGCTTTATTTTTCAAAACAAGTTTCTCTGTGTCCCAAAACTTGCTCAGTAGACCAGGCTGGCCTCAAACACACAGAGATCAGCCTACCTCTGCCTCCGGAGTGCTGGGACTAAAGTCATGCACCACTAACTGCCATCTTTCTAGTCAAGAATGGATTTATGAGAAACTTCATATTAAAATAGCATTCTTCTCTGTTGAACTTGACTCCACACATTCAATCCCCATTTCTGAGGTAGGGCTAGGTCCTTGAGGGTTGTAAGCTCCTCCTGTAAGAGCTTTAAGGCCTCTGGCATTTTTCTGCCTTTTTACATGGCCACATCTACTTTGAGATCATTCCTTGACTGTTACAGCCTTGAGTTCAAGTCAGAATTAACATTTGTCCACATATCACACATTTCCATTGATGGGTAAATACACTTTCCAAGGTTGGCCCACATGGAGACCATCCTTTCTCTCCAGGACTAGGGTCACAACTGCCATCACCATTATGTCTGGACCCTGAGATCCCCAGGCTTCTCCTGAGATGCTTAGGATGGCTGCATCAACCTTGCTCTCTGAACCTGAATCTGTGTCCTCTGTCTCCAGAAATGTCTAGTCTTCCAAGTGCTTGTTCCATTGTCTTCTTGTACTTTACTTACAAAATGTCAAGTTAAAAAGCAAGCAAACAAACAAAAACAAAAAACAAAAACAGCACCCACCTTCTGAGTTCAGGGCCCTGTGCCACTCCCCATAACATTCCAGCCCTGGATTCCACCCCATCTCTACCCTATCCAGGAGCAAGAGGAAGATTAAAAACTATGTTTTAAAAGACACACTGAAACCTTAATGCCGAAGTCATTTTTCCCAGAAATCACACCCATGAAAGGCTTTGTTTTTGAAAGTTCATAAGTAGGGTTTCCCTTTGCCTGGGTGACTGGCTAGTCCCCATGGAGGCAGATTCTAATTGCTTTTTCTAGGTGTATGTGAGAGATGTGGGGGTAGGGTCTTTATCTCTCCTTAAAAGAGGAGGGCCATGAGTCTACTCTTCCCAAGTTCCCAGCTTTGTCAGCTGCTATTGTACCCACAGCATGAAGCTCATGTGAAACTAAAACCCATCTGGGTTTATATCTGAACTCACTCCAAAAGCTACACAACCTCATCTCCAGGTTGTGGTGAGGGGCCCTTCTTTATGATGGTGTGTGGTCTTCAGTCCGTTAGGCTGAGGCAGAACTGTCATTTTCTGAGTTGGAACAATCCCTTCTGGAGGTATCTTTCAAGCGGACTTAATAGGATGAACACAGCCATAAGAAGTCTTGGTAGCCCATGCCAAAAAGTATAAGTTGTAGTCACAAGAGTTTTTGATGGGATACTCAGGTCACTGTCCTCAACATCCAGGCTGATG